ACACGTAGTACGCGCGACGACGGCCATTCAATCCGTTCGCGTGCGCTCGCAATTGTGCGCGATAGGAGTAGATGAAGGGAGTAGAGAGAGAGAGAGAGAGAGGGAGAGAGGGAGAGAGAGAGTTCTCTCATCGAAACTCGCCGTCGTTTCTTCTCGCGTCGCGCGTCAATGTGCGCAAATAACGTTACAGGTTGTCGGCTCTCTGAAGGAGAGCTGAGAATCACACAACGTGTGCGCCGATCGGCATCCTCCTCCTGTGTCTTCTTTTTTTCCTCCCTCTCCCTCCCCCTCTCTCTCCCCCTTCGCCGTTTCACGTTCCACGTAGCGGACGAGCCGGGGAATTCGAAAATCGTGACGCCGAACGCGCCTCGCGCGACGGAGGCGCCGTGGAGACGGCGGATGCCGGTTTTTGTTTGCTTGTTTGTTGTTTGTTCCGGGCGTTTCGTTGCCGCGTCGGTTAGGTACTTGACTCTCCTCTCTCGCGCTCCCGCGTTTTTCCTCAGCCCGAGATGATATTCCTCCTTCTCTCTCCGTTCCTCTCTAACTCTTACACTCTCTCCCTCTCTCTCTCTCTCTCTCTCACACATTTTCCTCCCCGCGCCCACGCCCTCCTCTCTCGTCTTTCCTCTTCGTTACTCCGGGATCGATCCGTGCAAATTTACACGCCCGCGGCGCGCTGGAGTGATGCCGGGAATTTTCACTGTCTTTCCACACTCCTGAACCATCACCGACACCGCCACCACCTCGACTTCATCTCCCCTCCGCACCCCTCCGCTCATCCTCGCCCTCGTTGGCAACGATCACCCCGAGGCGACCCGGCTTACCATCGCTCTCGGCGGGAACGGATCCGAATGCCTTCCGATTGTTTTATCCGATTGTTACAGGGTCGCGGCTAACCCCGGTCCCGTCAAAATACCTAATTGGTTTGTCGTTGCTCGCGCGGTTTCGCGCGGGCGCCGAGTCGCAAAGCCTCTTTGCCCGAGTCTCCTCGGCGGATATATATTTCCAAGGAAAAGCCCGCCGACGTGTCCGAAGCTGGCGACGGTACGCGCCGCGTTCGCGCTCCCATTTGCCGTTGCGTTTACCCGCCGATCAGCTGTATCACGCAACCTTCATTAGTGTCTTCGTCGATTCCTCAGCGCGAAATGAGTCACTCGAGCGAATGAGACAACCCGTAATCGCACGTTCGATCCTCGCTTTGTGCCCGGAGAAGACGGCAATCTTCTCCCATTTTCGCCTTGTGAGAAGAAAAGAACAGAAAAAGAAGAAAACAGAACGTCCATTTCTCTCTCTCTCTCTCTCTCTCTCTCTCTCTCTTCGCTCTCGAAATATACTCGTCAACGATAACGCACGTTACACGCAACGCGTCTGCGCACGCGTAGCATATTTACCGTTCCTCTATGACACTAGCATCAAATGAATATACCTCATAGATAATTTAAGCGTCGGCTGACTTGGTTCCACCACGGCGACGTATTCGCAGCGTGGTTGTTGCCTGAAAAGAACGCGGGAGGGTCGGTCACATGTGGGATAAGGTAGGAAGGAAGGCGAAGTCGAGAGAGGAGCGACGCGACGCTGCGCTTGAAGACGGAGGAGCGTAGAATTTGCCGCGGTGCTCTTTCTCGCGAGCGAGCGAGCGAGCTGCAACTCTTGATGAGTTTGGCGTTAAATTCAGCCGTCAGAGCTTTCAGCCCTGTTCTACTTCGCTCCCGGCGCGGGCGCGCGCGAGCGAGTCTCGCCCGCTCCTCCCCCGCCCGCCTCTTCTTGTCTCTTTCGCGAGTTGCTCGCGAAGAGCCTGCCGACGGTCGTCACGCACATGCTGCAACGACCTTTCGCGTTCAAAAGCTTTGTTTATGGGCCGAGAAGATTTATAGGCTGTGCGCCGATATACATATAGCGAGCCGGCGTGTATGCTCTATCTGCCTGGAATCTCCTACGTTCGGAACGCCGCGCCGCCGAGGGAAATTCATCTTGCCAGTATCCAGCGCACGGCGGGTCGCTCCTTAGCAAAATAAAAGGCGTCGCCCAAGGAACACGATATCTGTACGTAGGAGATAATTTAAGCGGCAGATAAGCAGGCGAGATTATAGGCGATTTTGCTCGGACGGTTTTACGCGAAAGACTCGCTCCAGATCGCCGGATGTCGGCGGGCGAAGGTATCTGCATTGCGTGTTTCAATCTACATTAGATATAAAAATTTTAATTTACGACCCGTACAATCGGATGGACGCAAACCGTGGAAGCGAAAATCGTTTTCATTGGCGCGTTCGTCGCGCTGCGTCCGCGTGTGTATTCTGTTCACGTTTACCGAACGAAATTATAAATGCAATCGCAGCAAGGCCGACGGGACCTTTTGTCGAGCGCGAATTTCATCAGCTCGAGACTTCTCGTCTTTCGTACGTGTAATTTCGCCATTTGCCAGAATTTCGCGCAGCCACCACTGCTGGTTAACTAATGCGACTCTACGCGTATGCGATGGTTCACCGCATCGCGGGAGGAACAAATGTTCTATATCGGTGGGAGGACTGGGCGCTCGACTGGGCAGCGGTCGGCAGGTATCGTTAATTATATGCGAGTTATTGGCACTATCAACGTTTCGAGGACCGGATGCATTACATATGCGCCACTGTCCGCTTTCTGCGGGCGAAACGGGGACGCGCGATCGAAGACGCAATTCGGCGCGATGCAATGTTATCGCGTCAGAGAGCGAAACGTCGCTCTCCATCCAGATTTACCTCGCGTACAGTGCACACACGCATGTGTGATGAACCTCACGGAACCCCGCGAGAAGTTCAGCGCGCACCTAACATCTTTTTTCGTTGCTGCTTTTCCTGCACCTGCACGTCTCTTCAGAGCGCGTGTAATAATTCGTTCTATAGGCGCATGTGATGACTTTCTCAAGAGGGTTCCGACATATTTATCACTCGATTCCATATATCTTCTACATACATTTCACCTTTAGACACTCGGAGGTACTATATATACATTGCACTCTCGTTGAATTCTCGTTCTTAATATTAATATTTTTCCCAGCCGCTGCACTCTGCTAGCTTCCGGCGAGAATCGTTTCATGCGAAGATGCGAGAGCCTTGTACGAGAGCCTAGACGAAAGCCTAGCCTCACCTAACCTAACCTAACAAAGTTACCTGTCGTTAATTACGCAGAAAACTAACTAATCATCTGGATATATTTTTTCGGGGTGTGAGAGATAACGCACATACACGCGCACACACAAAACAGAACTTCACTTATTCAAACGATCCGAGGAAGAGTAATCATTTTCTTGAGGGGTTCACTCATCCGAAAGATGTGTTATTCCTACGTGCTTCTCTCGGTACTGCACAAAACGGCGATAAAACTCAACTCGATGTTATTATTTTATAATCTTCCGCGCTTATAAACATTTGGTACGTTCCAAGCGATGGAAATGTAATCCATTTTATCGAACAATCCAATTAGTATCGCGTAGTGCTGTTGGTATACACCCGTTAGTTTTCATGTCTGGTTATCCGAGAGTCTACCCGATATTTAAATTTACTCATATTCTCCGGATACTCTGGTCTGTGCGCGAAATAAGCAGATACTCTCGGGTATAACCGGGACGAAAACTCGCGGGTAGTATCCATCAGCCTTCTATTATCGATTTCCGCAGCAGCTGATTTCGTATCAGATTTTGTCCTTCGTTTCTCTACAGTATCATGCGCACTAATCACAGCATTCGACTATCTGAGCAATTTTCACAAATACCGGCTACTCGGATACTCAAAAAGACCCTGGGTAGTATTCAGGCATCCCGATAATTTGCACGGTATTCGAGTACTGAGGTGATCCAAAGATAGCCAGAAGACTGCAATATCTGGATAATACCCGTCTACCTGTGTATCCGAGTACCCGGAGTAGCCGGATATTAATGCCACTGGGACCGTGTGCATACATTGCACGCTGACCCCATGTTTCACTCATATCGTACCGGCGCGCACGAGTCTCCAGTTCAAGAGAATCCCCTCGATACATTTTCGCATGGAGACTCTTCGGCTTCTTTCATCGTTATACCCTGGTCACTTGGCGAACTTTACGGTGCGACTCAACACCGTTTAGCAGTATCAACGCCATCACCTAACAGGTTCTAAGCTCGCGCTGTAATTGCTGTAATTGCAGCCGGCAGAGCATCAGCGATCTTATGCGACGTCTCTCGGCGCGACTGGGTGCACCGAGTAATATTAGTGCGGTGTATGAAACTGTGCTTCGCGTTCGTCCGCGCAAATCCTCCACACCCGGCCAACCGGCAGGACTATCGGCAGGAGTACGCGCGCAAAGAAATCTCGATGTGTGTGTGTGTGTGTATGTGTGTGCGCGTGCACGTCTGTGGACAACGTGCGCTCGTGCGCGCCCGTACGCGCTCGCGCGCATACATACAGTGCAAGGCGCATCCCGTGTATGTGTCCTGTCTTTCGTCCTGCTCTGATCGTGGTCGCGGGACGAATGCCACGCGAGCCTCCGTCTTCGTCTCGCGGCCTCCCCCCGCCTTCCACTTCACCCTTCGCTACTCGCTGCGATTTCGCGCGTTTCATGGGAAAGCTCGCCCCCACCCACGCGTCGGCGCGACACTGGTGGGGTGCGCTCGGGCACGTGGGCGGTGTCAGAGCGAGCCACGCCCAAATGCGTTGCCCCTTTACCAGCCCGGCGCGCTCGTCAAATGTTTTTCGTCGCGGATTATGACGCGGTCTGCGCGATTATGACCACCTCTCTCTGTCTCTCGCCCGCATCTCGTCGCTCTCTCCTTCCCTCGCGATTTTCCTCCCTCGACTCCGCGCGCCCCGATGCTTTCCGCTCGGTGGCTGGATTTTTTCTTTCCCTCTCTCCCTCTTCCTCCCTCTCTCTCTCTCTCACACTCACTCACTCACTCACTCACTCACGCTCTCTCTCTCTCTCTCTCTCTCTCTCTCTCTCTCTCTCTCTATGTCTCCTTCTCTGTCCCGTCCCTTCTATCTTCTCCCTACCTTGTCGCCGAGGAGGACAAACTTTGCTCTTGCCTCAGCCGTTAGCTACGACGTCGTCTCGGACACGCGAAGAGGCAACTAAGCTCGTTCTTTTTCTCGCTGTGAATTTCTTCCTGTACATGTGGAATTTTGGGGGCTCCCTCTCGTTCCCACTAACTTTCTGCTTTATATTTCTTTCTTTATTTCGTCGTCCTTTACGTCTCGCTGCGTCTATCGGGTAGCTAACGTATAGTGGCATCGATCGGCGCCGGTACGTTTTTCTCAGATCAGTCGAGGGGAGAAGGAGAGCAGAGGGACCAAACAAAGACAGTCCATGGTCAGCGTCCAACGATCCGGCGGGTTTCGGGACTGGAACAAGCGAGAGCTGTAACAAGATGAAAACGTGAGAAATAACTTACGAGGTTTACACAATGTGTTGACGAATGTCATATGAACAACTGGACCACTCAAGTCTAACTTCCTAATTCCAAAAGTTCTAGCGTTGTATTTGGTAGTTTTCAACATACAACACGGGAAACAAGTTGAATCAAATTAATGCTGCTGCGATATTAAAGATTAACTTGAAGGATTCATTGTACGGTATGACTGCTTAACTGCTTGAATTGAGTGAGTTGTATATCATGTTAGATAATATAATATATGAAAGAAACTCGTACGTGTGTGTGCGCGCGCGCGTGCATATGACATATCAACGATATTTGATACTTTGAATTAAGATTTTAAGCAATATTGGCGTAACAAAAGTGAATTATATCCGACACTGTATAATTATTATTTTTTACTATCTTCTTGTGACGTAAATCTGAGAGATTGAATTTAAAAAGTACAGCGGAAAGGTGCACATTGCCAATAATTCACCCAAGAAGCAATAAATAATGAAGAAACACGTTCCGCCCCTTTGTTCCAGACGTTTAATCCTCCTGCTCCTCTCTCTCTCTCTCTCTCTCTCTCTCTCTCTCCCTCTCTCTCTCTCTCCCTCTCTCTCTCTCCCTCCCTCCCTCTCCCTTTCCCCATATAATTACGATTAAACCGGATCATGGTCCTGCAGACTGAATTCGCTCCGGGCAACAAAAGAACGACTCCGATCGGCGATCTCAGCGTGACGCTCACTCTTTACGACGCTCCCGAATAATGTGATTCTGGGTATATAATTCCGGTGCGTGTGGGTAGAAAAGCTCTCGCGGATTTGGCAACACTGTGATGCTCTGGGCGTCTCAGCAACACTCCACGGTGCGAAGGACGAGCGTCGAGCGTTTCACGACGGAGAAAAAGCGGGAGAGATTTCGCTGGGAGGAAAGGGTGAGGGGCGGCACCCGCGAGAGGCGAGACGGGAGATCACAGTGGGGGTGACGCTGACGAGAGCGCGAGAGGGGAAGAGGTAAGGTCACGTGACGCCCGTGAGAGCGATTGCGGCAGAGGTAGGGGACACATGAGAGGCGTGGCTATCGCCTTCTCCTCCGTGGCCGCTTCCACCCGTGTTAAAACCCAGGACGGAGTACGCGAGCGCGAGGGAGAGAGAGAGAGAGAGAGAGAGAGAGAGAGAGAGAGGGAGAGAGAGAGAGAGAGAGAGAGAGAGAGAGACGGAAAGAAACGGAGAGTGAGACTCGTGACGCTGTGTCGTGCGAATTTTGGCACGATTCTCGAAAACTTCTTACTCGCGCGACATATCGCGGAAAACCCGCTGAAATCTCAACATGGCCAATTGTATTGCATTATGGCAGTGACGAAGTGCACTTGCCGCTCGTGCGAAGGGAAGAGATATGTATTTTCGGACGGGACGCGTTGCCAAACTTACTTTCGCGCATATGAGTTATACGACTTGGCGTATCCACGTCAAAACCACGGATGAGCGCCTTTTCCTAATCTCCCATCCTACATTCTTCACCAGCTTCTTCACTTTCTATCCTCTTACAACAAATCGTCCTCGACGGTGGTGCCAAAATTTCGATACGTAGCGCATTCGAAAAACGACGATACAAAAAATTAGTCAGCAGTTGGCGGTCGGAGTCGCGCGATCGAGAGATGCGGTAGAGAGAATTAATAACAATTTTCTGCCCTGCAGACGAAGGTGTCGACCGACGTGGCAAGTCAGACGCGAAAATTCTCTCGCGTCGAACGCGAACGTTAACGCTCAGCCAGCGAAGATTCGAGCGAGCTTCACTAACGACACCTCGCGACGTCGATCGTGCTGCCTCCCTCTCCCCCCGTTGCCCTTCCCGTACCAGTGCCCCCGCCCTCGTTGGAAGGCAGTGACGCGGGGTGGTGTTAATGGGCGTACTCGCGGTTAACACCCTTAGGAGCAGGCTGGTGGGAGTACATGCCGGCTCACCGACACGGAGCGGAGAGTATCGCGAGCGAGTGTGCGTGACGCGGACGGTGGGGATAAGTCTGACGGTGGGAAGACAGGGAGAGGGTGCGAGCGTGCGAGCGAGACGACCGCTGCTCGAGTAGCGTCGGAAAAGGCGTCGAGTCCAACGCCGCTCGGATTGGCGCCGGAACGCCAATCCGGACTACGAGCGCTCATTATCGCCCAACGGCTGGTAGGAGAAGGTGCCGCGAGATTCTCCCCACCTCTCGCCACCTAGCGCTATCAGTCGGCGTCTCTGTCTTCGTCACACCAGCGGCGACTCGCAGCCGTTGCCGACAGTTGGGGAGGGTCACCCCCACTACGGCCGGCCGTAGATGATCGTAGGGGAAGGGAGGAGGAGCCCCCGCACGGTCTCAGTCTTCGCGTCGCTGCCCTCCAGCATTCACGCCTCCCGCGTCCGTTCCGCGGCGCAGGCACACCGCGGTCTATATACACGCACGTACGCACGCACACGGCTTCGCGGACCACCCATATACACGCGGCCGCGCGCGTATACACCGCCCTGAATCCGGACGGAGACTTTAGCACACCAACACCTCCGCGGGAGGTGTGGGGGTGAGCCCCCAGAGGAGGTGTCAATCCTAGCGCTGCTCAGTGACCATCGCGGCGCCACCCAAGTAACACCTTTCGTCCACTCTTCAGCCCCGACTGATCGTCGTCACCGAGTCGTGGTCGCCGAGAGGAGAGATAAATCCGTTCCTTTTCCGACCATCGTCGTTCTCATCCTCGTCCTCGTCATCGTCGCCGTCATCGTCGTTGCCACAGCTCGTGTCCACTCTCAAACCAAACCGGACTGGACCAGACTACGACTGTCCTCTCGTGAATGTCACGTTGTTGAACCGTCGGACGCTTACCCGGTGTCTACTCACTCATCGTAGGTCGTGGACATAGTGTCGTGTTTCGGGACATCCGGGGTAAAGCGAAGAGAGAGAGACGAAGGCAGTGACACGAGATCAGCGACACGGGGCAGGATATGACGACAAGGTACACCGTGCAAATGAGCAGGTGAGAGAAGTCAGTGATCAGTGCTCGCCGGATTTACATCTCAATAGCCTAGTAGTACAGTGATTTACGGCAAACTAGTGCTTCGATATGGCTGTGACTCTCATACTGAAGATCTACCAAGCAACGTCACGATAGACATCGCGGTAGACACGCAAGAGTATCTCTGCTCCCTAACTCGGTGTGTCAAGTGTGTCAAGCAAGCCCCGTCTCGGTGCTTAGTGAGGTGTTCCGAAAGCGGAGGACTCGTATCGACACTTTGCCTCGGTGATACACACACATATACACACACACACACACACCCACACACACATCCAAACCCACCCACACACACACCCACACCCACACATACACACACGCGCGCGCGCACACACACACACACACACACACACACACACACATACACACGCAAACAAACACACACATATACACACCCACACCTGAGAGTACCTTGCGCCATGGCGAAGACACGCTGAAGCCTCCGGACGGTGTTCAAGTCGTAAGATGTCGACTGGTCAACTTGCAGCGGCCAACGACACGCTCGTCGGCGATTATCCGCAGCCGAGTCGCGCGAAGGAGACGTGCGGTGGTTCCACGGGCCCAGATTCATACTCTTGAACGCGGGATCCTCACGAGACACGAGTGTCTCGTAGATATGAGGAGGTACGAGCGCGATCGTCGAACAGTGTAGACACTCCGAAGTGCAGTCTCCATCCGACGGCTCGCGGACCCTCGCGAGCGACAGCGCGCATTCGGAGCGGAACAACGGAGGGACCATCGCGCGGCCAGTCCAAGGTTTTGAGTCACTCGAAGAGGAATCTCGCGCGACTCGGCACACCCGCCCGTCTCGATGAGATTCGAACAAGACACGGCGTGCAGGGGTACCCACTGCGCCAGCACTCCGCAACCCTCCGCGCTGCAGCAGCGATCACGGCCCGAGGAGGTGGTGGTGGAGGAGGAGGAGGACTCCTCCGCGAAGGACGTGGACGGTCAACGACGTAGACGCATAGAATTGGAGGCTAACGTGGTCGAGGGTGCGAATACGGGGCCGCGGGCCGAGGCGGGGGGGCCTGGGATGGCGTACCCCGCGCCAGCGACGGCTCTGAATCAGCACTCGCCCTTCGCCAGCTCGATCGCCGGCACGCCACCCGCTAACAATCCCAACGGCCACATAGGTGCCGGCGCACACCTGCCGGCGCCGGCGGCACCGCGACCGACGGACTTCAGCGTCTCCTCGCTGTTGACCGCGGCCAGTAGCCATCCGCCGATTTTGGGCGGTTCGTCGTCGCAGGGTAGCGCGTCGCCGCCGCCTGGTGGACCCGGTAGCCCGGCCGCTGCACCGGAAACCCCGCCACCCTTACCTACGAGCCAACGTGAACTGTCGCACCCATCCTCGGCGGTGGCGGCTGCTAACTACTTCAGCGCTGCCGCCCTGGCGGCGGCAAGTTTCTACAATCCGGCGGCTCATCTACCGCCGACCAGCTCGCCGGGACCAACGGTGCATCATCTTCAGAGCAAGGGGATACTCAGCAGCGCGCATCACCATCCGCATCTCAATCCGCACGGTATCACGCCGCCAGGTGAGCAGACAGACTGACACCTCCTCTTATGCGAGAGTGAATTTCGCGTGTGGACAATCTCGCGCGCCAAGAGTGTATTCTCGTAGAAGGAAAGTGTGCTCTCTCCCCTCCCCCCCCCCGCCGCCGCCGCCGCCTCTACTCTCGCTCGCGTTTCATTAACAGGTCGTATCCGTTTACAGAGAGAAAGAGAGAAAGAAACGAGAGAAAAGAGCCGGCGGGGTATATATATATATATAACGCGATAAAGAATCGCGCGTAGAGGATCGAGAAATTATAAGCCGAAGACTATGTGAGAGTCGCCAAAATGCCGGGATGTGTGCGCGTACGTGTGCGTGATCAGGCTGATATTCGCTATCGGGAGGATAATAATGTTCGGCGTTGATGAGGGAACACGAGCTATTATCTCGGGCTATTATTGTATTCGCGCTCCCAGACCTCCCAGAGCGATCTTTCTTTCGAGTTCATTAGATGCGAGTTTAACGAATCGTTTAGCTCGGCTTTTGGCCTATTAATAACCCCATGATCGTTCGAGATCCTATCTCCGTCGCGAATAAGCCGATCCCACTGGAAAAACACTGCTCCGGTCAGAAGCGGAGTAGCTCTCCTCTCGCTGAAGTAGCAGGGTGCCCCGACTGACTGTACAAGCCGAGAGAGAGAGAGAGAGAGAGAGAGAGAGAGAGAGAGAGAGAGAGAGAGACAGACACACAACACCTCGGCCCCGAATTAGGCGTGTCTGCCGAAAAATTGCCGAACGCCACGCTCTCCCGTCGATGCGCGAAGGAGGCATTAGAGACGCGAGCAACCGCCGAGTGTTTCCTTCAACAACCGTGTGTTAAACTGCAAACAAACTTGTTGCGTGCCAGCGCGGGCGCGGGTAATAATGCCGCCGGTGCTTATTTCGGCTACGGCCGACTATCAGCGTGCTTACCGGCGTGAATATTAGGCGCGTCGCCGGCGCGCGTTTTACGGCCGCGTTTGCTCTCCCCCCTCGCTTTTGCACAATGCGACCCTGCCCTGTTTTTCCGCGGCTTTAGAATCGCCGGCGAGCGAAACGCGCGCGAGCGCCCGCCTCCACTTTGACCGGTCGCTTTCGCAGTCACCTCCGGCTGCTGTTCGGCAAAGTTCAGCCGTGCCCAGACGAGATCGTTAAGTCCGACGCGACGCTCGCGATGTCGAGTTTGATCCCCGTCAACTCCGGCGCTGCAATCGCGGCCGCCGATCTCGCTTCGCGATCTTTCTCGCTTTCCTTTTTCTTTCCTGCGTCCTCCTCTCTGTTCTCTCTCTCTCTCTCTCTCTCTCTCTCTCTCTTCTTTCTTTTTTTTTCAATCGACGCGATGATCACACCCGCGCGTGTATTTCGAGAACGCTCGAGTAAGCACGAACGCACTTTGTTCTTCTGGCGCGCTGCCATTGTCGCGCCGGAAGCGCGCTCGTTTTTCGAAAGGACACGTTTGTGACACGCTGGAGGTTTCTCGTTTGTCACTCACGTCGCCGTTTCGTGGATCTTACGCAACATCCTGATCGCGCAGTCTGGCGTGCACGTCAAAGCGCGCGCGACGGTCGCTGCAGCGCGGAAGCAACAGCGCAGTGAGATATATCGCGCGTTTTGTCCTCGCATCGCGCGAGGAACGCGGAGCGGAGTTTTCGATCCGCGCGCTTTTCCATGCGCTCCTTATTTCTCCCCTTCCCAGCCCAGCCCCCCCTCCCCCCGCCCTTCTCCGCGACCCTCCACGGCAAGCATCAGCCGTGCGATAATTGCTCGACGTTAGATCGTTCGACGTCGGCCATTGTTAATTTACACGAGGAGGATACAGCGGCGATGCCGTTGCCGTTGATATTAAACGTCGCTAATTATAGACGGTTTATTACCTTGTTTGCCGAGTCGTTCGGTGCCATTATAAAGATTAGCGTTGATGTCGCGACATTTGATTGCGTGCGACCAATCGTCCGCTAATTATTTTCCCAATAATATTTGTCCGGCGCGATACCGTCGCGGAAAGTGTCGCGGCCCCGTTGGCCGACGGCGGCGTCGGCTCTTATCTGCTCTCTGCCTTTCTCTTTCTTCCTTTTTGCCTGCCGATGGACGATTCCGCGAGCAAGTCGCTGCCGTGATAGACACGTCGCGTCTCCGGGGGACGCTGGAGTCACCGATAACAGAGCGGCAGCTGGATCGTTAAGCCGCTCCGCGGGAGCTGAGTTGAGGTCTGTCGAAAGTCCGGTCTCCGTGGGAAAAACAAGGACATTCTCGCGATATATTCCGAGAGCCGTCAGCTCGCGTTTTTCATCCGAAGGATCCGAGCCTCGGATCGAGTCGAGCCGCGCATCATCCCCTCGCGTGGCCGCTCGTATCCGGCGTAATTGTCCCTCAACTTTGCATCATCATTCGTCGGCCGATCGCCGTTTCTCGGACTTTTTGCGTCGCTCGCGGCCGAAAACGTCAGCCGGTCCGTCGCGCGACTCGTTCGGCTTTCGTGAGACCGATTCGGGCCTCTCGGCTCGCCCGCCGCGCAAAATTCCGAATCGTGTCCGACGAGTCGCGAGATCGCCATAACGCTCGCGAATAACGACGATAGCATCGGGAACGCGGCACGGCTCCGACGCGCCGCGAGAAGAAAAAAATGCGGTGCGCTGCGCGCTCGCCGCTCGGCGATACATTATGACTTGGGCAGCGATAATGTAATCGATCTGGCATATCTGCGGCGGTTAAACGAGCAGGGCGATGCGAACGGCGAACGTGGAGCGCGTTGTCTCGCCGTTTGCATTTTTTCCATGCCCGACGAACAACAGGCGTATTGCGCGCGCGCGCGCGCGCGCGCGGCTGAGTGGGAGTTTTTTCTTCCCTCTTTTCGAAAAAAACAGCCCTCGGAAACGCGCTGCGCTACGGAATATAGCGCATACGAGGGGATTAAGCGCCGCGGCGGCGGCGGCGGCGGCGGCGGCGGCGACGATTTCGGCAAATCTCCGGGAAAATTCCGGAATTGCCGGCGCGCGTAGGAACGTGCTCGACAAATTCCGACTTGTCGCGTCGAATGCGAAACGCGGCCAAACCGGGCTGAACGGCCAAAGGGTCGCTGTTTTACTTTGCGCCGGCGATAATGGCAGGATGCGCGCGGTCGTCGCAAATGTCGTGCCGGCTGTGTGAAAGAGGGAAGGATAGAGGGGGAGGGGAGGGGGAGGGCGAGAGAGACGGGAGACAGAACGGAGCAGAGCAGAGAGGCGGAAAAAAAAACGGGGGAGGGGGGGGGGAGAACGGAATCGGAGGAACGATTTCCAGAGAGCCGGCACAACGTGCTCATCGCGCGTCTTCTTATCTGACATCGCATTATTACGCGCGTCCACCTCATCCGCTACAACTAGTTATTCCCTTCGTTAGGCTAAATGATGAATTAATTCCCGACGCCGGTTATACAGACACACACGCGTGTTGCCCCGTCTCGACTCGCCGCTAGACTCGACTGATTCACGCTGGGCGAGTGCGAAACTCCCTCCTTGCTTATTTATAATATAATAGCGCGTCATGCGATAAATCACGAGCGCGGGGAATTATTCAGACCGAGGAGAGGCCAAGTGACGCGAGCACCCGTACAAATTGTGTAACTTGCGCGCGTATCTCTGATACTCGACGTTGATACCGGCCGCATTTACACGTTTCCTCTGCGTTTTCAATTTGCGCAACACGCCGACGCGAGTCGCTCGCGCGAAATAAAACGCGACCCCCGGGACTCGATTCGTCCTCCATTAACGAAAGCAGCGTATATTTTTTTACACGCTTGCGCTGGTCAACGAATGCTCCTCTCTCTCGCTCTCTCTCTCGCTCTCTCTCTCTCTCTCTCTCTCCCTCTTTCTCTGTTGCTTCGGAAAATCGGAAAGCCGGCTGGGTGCTGCGACGTCAGTCACTCGAGGACGACGCGAGAGGCCGTCGGCATCGACGACGCGTTCTCTCTCACAGTTTCGTTCGTCGTCGCGGTTAGCCTACGCGATGCGACGGCGACGACGCAGCGGTCCGTCCGTCATTGGTATTGTTGCTCTCCCTCGTAATTTCGTCTTTTACTCCTCTTTCCCTCATCGCACGGCGGTGCGGCCGCGGCGCGTCGCACGTCATCCCGCTCTTCCTCGATTCTAACTTCAGGCAACTCGCAGCCAACTGGCCCATAAGGTGCCGGCGATTAATCTCACCAAAGGGCGCGCCCGACGTTTCTTGCATTCGAAATTCGGAGCGTGTACGCGCGCCACGTAACCCCCGTGTAACTCTCGAACGGAGAAAACGAGCGCGACGGGCGCGGAGTGCCGGCGGAGGGCGGGGAAGTGGGAAACGCGCTGCGAGGAAAAATTGCGCAGAGCGGGACGCGAGTTTTATTTCTCCGAGCGACGGAGAGGCACGAGAAGAGACGATGCGGAAGAAGCGGGCAGAAACGCGCGCACGACCGCGTCTCTAGATTGGACGCTGAGGGGCGGGGGAGCAAGCGCGCGCGTCGGCCCGGTATTTCGAGCCGAACGTCGTCGCCGGGGCAACGTCGACGTTTCTCTCGGCGTCGAGAACTTCGCGGGGGACGAAAACAATCGTATCCTCCTCTCGGACGGCGAGGAGAGGCGCGAGAACGCACGTGCGCGAGCGCCGGCAAAATCGCAGCCGGCGCACGAAACGATTGGAAATTCGGGGAGCGAGATCGCGTCGCGCGATTAAACGCGCGCGTCATTGTTGTGTCTTGCTGTTGGTAATTGTATTAAGGTATTGTGCGGCGTTGGAAATCGCGTTCGGTAAATCGAAAATCCGCGTTCCGCACTTTATTGCAGCCGCGCCGCCTGCCCCCCTCCCCCCCCCCCCCCCGCCCCCCCCGCCCCTCCGCCGTCGCTTGTTTATAATTTTCAATAATGTATTACTTGTGCACAGGTCGCTGCGCGGCCGTTGATAAATTGGTGGCAATGAGAAGCAATGTATTTTCACTGCTCGCCAGCGGTCCCGCCGATCGTGAGAATTATTAATCCGCGGCGTATTTGTAACGCGGCAACAAAGCGCTCCGGCGATCAAAGTTCCACGTCGCGCGTAATTAATGAGACGCACGGGAAAGAAGAGAGAAAGAGAGAGAGAGAGAGAGAGAGAGAGAGAGAGGGGGGAAAAACAATGGGGAAGGAAAAACCGCACGCACGCCGTCCTGCGCGAGATCGTCCTGAAATTGCGAGCCGCCGCGTCCTCGAAGCGCGCACATCCGGACATATTTCGGACATGTTATCGTCTGTCCGTCTTAGAACGCGCAGAGCGCGAGTGCCAAAAGTGGCCGAAGTGTGGCGAGGAAACCGCGCCGATCTCCGGCCGATCTTCGAGCAAAGCCACATCCCCGCGTGGCTCGCGCCCCGCGCGGAAGAAAGAAACGAATTCGGTTTCAATTAACGCGACAATGGCCGCGTCTTGGCCGAAGGAAACGGGACTTCCGGCTCGTGTGAACCGAATTCGTTTTTTCTAAGAACGAGAAATCCCGTTTCCTTCGACGAAAACGCGCCTTCGGTTCGCTCATAAAGCAACTCCTCCCCCCACCTCCCTTCCTCCTTCGATGGTGTTTTTTTGTTCTTCGCCTCCTTTTCACCGAGATGCGATGAGAAGAATGTTGGACGCGAGGTGTATTATAACGTGACTTTCCGACGTACCGAGACGCCACACAGCTATCCAGCTTTCGACATCGGTTTTAATGTATCGCGGCGTTTTTAGCGTTCCGAGGGACTAGACGCGCACACTCCGGAGCGAGCGCGCTAAACGTTACAATTAATGCTCCCGTTCTGATTAAACTCGGAAGAGCTCGCCGAAGGGGCCCGACGGCAAGGATGACACCGTACACGCCGTGGCCGCTAACGCGGCTGCTAATGAATACGTAATCCGGCCGAGGAGCGACACAAAAATTAATGGAAAAATGAGGAAAGAGGAGAGGGAATGTGGAAAAGAGAAGGCAAAGAAAACGGAGGAAATAGCGTGACCTGCGTGACGCGCGCGCTATTTCGAAAGGAACGACTCGCACTTGCGTAATACTCAAAGTTTCGTCCGTTTCGATAAGGAATAACGAGCGCTCGGTCGCTACGTGAACGACCAGCGCGAAACGGTATCAATCGCGGCGACACGCGCGGCCCTGCCCCTTCCCCCGCTTGCTTCTTTCTCTGTCCCGTCGGATCGCGATATCGCAATCATTGCGAACAATCGTCTCATTCCTCACGACTCGGGCGACTTTCGAACGACGCTCTTGCGAGCGCTCGCGCTCGCTCCGTCGTGGAAAAATATAATCCGCGCCGTTGAAAAGTGCCGCGCGGTTAAATAACGCGCCGGTCCGGTCCCCCGCTCGGAGCGGGGCATTTCCGTTGCCAGTTTGTGAATAAAAATCAAAATACGTCGAGTGCGCGCGCGCGGCCGCGCGGGTAAGTGTTCAATAAAATTCGATTCGGCCGCGCGTCGGGTGGATTCGCCCGGCGTGTCCGAATATCCGATGTGTGTTTGATAAACGGACAAAAACGCCAAACGTCACGGTTCACTGGCGCTTTCGTTCGTTAATACGGCGAATTTCGGCGGATGGGATCTAGCAATTTCCTGAATGCATTAACGCGCGCGCAAAAATACCCTTCTGTTTCGCGCCATCGTCGCGCGCTTCTCTTTTCCAGCGTACGCTCGGCGAGGCGGACGCGAGTCTGTAATCGCGACGCGGCGAGCCCGTCGCGAGCGAACGGGTCGCGTCGAATCTCGCGCGAATACAGCGCGGCGGGGTCGCGCGTCAAAACAGCGTGCCTTCGAATACTTTCAATAACGACAGCACAGCACAGGGGGGGAGAGAGAGAGAGAGAGGAAGAAAGCGAGAAAAAAAGGAGCTCGCGCTTCCCGAGTGAGTTGTCTCGCGCGAATCTCTTGTAAGAGCGTGCGATGTATCATTATCGGCTTAGTGCGCTCCCCCTTGCTCCCCTCCCCTCCCCCCCTCTCTCTCTCTCTTTATATCACTCGCGACTACGCTCTCTAGTATTATATCCACGTCGCTGCCACGTCGCTGCCTGTACTTTGCCGGATACAAATACACTTTACATTTAGACGCAAATAAATAACAAGTCGCGCGTCAAATAAAAAATAAAATTCGCGCGTCGGGCAATTGTTTCGCCTCCTACGCGCGTAGCGCGTCTTTCACAACTACCCGATGAAACGTTATTTAGTTAAAACGGACACGTGGGGCAGAAGAGCTGTATCGTGCGTGAGCGCGTTTGTGTGCGAGTGTATGTGTGTATATGTGTACATATATGTGTAAAAAAAAAAAAAGGAAAAAAAGAGGCACGTATTTACCGATGAGGAATACGAAAAAAAACGCACGCAGATAAAAACGCCGCGACGCGGCGCGGTACTGTACATTGTTACATTTTGCTATTTTATTGCGCCGCAGAAAGTAACACATGTTTAACGTGAGCGTAAATTATTGTAACGACTGCAATTTGAGATACGCGCTTACCGTCGCGAGCGCGACGATTTCGTAAAAATGTTAAACAGTACCGCGTTGCTTTTGCAATTTTGCTCTTTCTGATTACCGGCGTTGCTGTTGAACTTTGTTACCGACGCGATCGCATTTATATAAATAAGCGCGCAAACTCCCTTCTTTCTCAAACATCGCGCGATCTCGTGTGTGCATCGTCGCACGAACGAAATGCGCGGGACGCGCATGGCGGCGATGAAATAAGCAATTCAAGCGTTAGATAGGCACAATTTATTAGTCGCGCATAGCATTTTCCGCCGAAGGCTTTGGATCGTATCTCAAGATATCATATCCGGTGATTAGCGCTGAACGCTTGAATTTTTTTCATGCGATGATACGCTGTGTTTTAAAATGCCAAGCGCGGCTAAACGCACAGCCGTCAATGCTTGATAATTTAAAAGCTCACGAAAAGTCTACATTGACTCGCGTTATGTCCAAAGTCGTAACTGTGTTACGTCGGAAGTTAAGTCCGGGAAATCGCATGAACACACAAAATCTTGGCAATTCGTAGTTGACTCTCGCTGCCGATTGTTTCGAGCGCGACAAACGTCGCGCATATGCATCCATCTTTGACGTATCAGCAATACAGATAAATCAAATCGCTGGCTCTCCATCCTCCTCTCTCTCTCTCTCTCTCTCTCTCTCTCTCTCTCTCTCTCTCTCTCTCTTTTATACGCTACGTAATTAATTAACTCGATTAACATAATCTTACTGGAAAAAAAAAAGAAACAGTTTCTTAGAAGATAAAGAAACTACAAGTAGAATATAGCGTGCGTGTCTTCGCGTTATGCGTTTATACGCGGAATAATTAATACGCGCGCAAGAAAAGGAGAGAAAAAGAAAGAAAAAGGAAAAGCATAACACCGAAGAGATCAGTGAAGATAACAGTCGCCGCGCTGAAAGGACTGAGACTCGCCGCGGTAACAATCATGAAGTCATTACGCGGTAACAGGTTTTCCATTTTTTCCCCCGTTTAGCCCGATGGTAATTGATTGAAAAGGAAAGGAAATACCGGCAGCCGTATCTGTGTCATTAACTATTAACCGCACCATTACTCATAACATTTATGGACGGTGATTTACATTAATCATTCTCGCTAACTCGACGTTACACCGCGAACGGTGTATTATTTCACGGATTCGATACAATCCTCCGCTCGCGCGTGCGAACCTCCGCGTTACTCCTCGCGCGGAATTCGCGGGACGAGTGACTCTGGATTTTCGATTGCGGATCTCCGAGACGAGTCTCTCGGCAATCGTCGCGTCATCGCGATTCCATCCAGCGAAACGCGCGCGCGCGCGCGCGCGCGCGCTCAGCGACGCTCAGCCTGGGAATGCTCCGCGGCTCGATTAAGACGACAGGATCTGTCATGCGGGTGCAATTCGCGAGAGCGGAGCTCTTCTAAATTAATACAGTTCTGTACGAGTTATCTCGCTGCAGCTCTAAATTCCTCCGTTCTTACGCTGTTGCAAAATCCGCGTTGTCTCTCATTCGCCACGGCGCGGCGGCGCGCAAGAAGGCCGATCGTCGGCACGAGACAATCAGCGACACGCACACACAGGTTAGGTCAGGATGCGTCAGGATGTTGTTCCTGCCGAAGAAACGCGTTTCCTCGACCCGCGAGAATAAATATCTACAGTTATTCGCGCAACTTCCCAGAGACGCCCTTCCGCGCGTCGCGCGTAGGGGTGGAGAAGGAAGACGATGAAGTTCCTAACTCGCGGAGCTGGGTCAGGTGGAGGGAAAAGTGGCCACTGAGGCGAGGGGAGGCGGAGAAGAATCCGTAACTTTCCTCGGGGGTTGCGGTATCGCGGACTGCCAGGTGATTCACCCTCGCGAACTTTGAGCAGCTGTCTTTTACTTGTTATCCGTCATCGATCTTCGCCCGGTATCGGCTCGGCGGTCGTCATTACGGTTCTCGCATCTTGCCGTACGCGGAACAGCGCGACCAGATGTTATACCCATCGTGCGTACGTACGCGCACTGATACCGATTCCCGATTACCACTCGTGATAATCGCGATCTCCCAAATGTGCGCGATGGATTAAGTTGATCCTGCCGGGGAATAGCCGTCGGATTCCTTCACTACCCTTTTCGCAGGGCGTACTATCTTAATGGTAATCTATCTCCGTGCCGACGCAGATAAAGAGAGACGGAGAAAGGGAGAGGGGGGGAGAGAGAGAGAGAGAGAGAGAGAGAGAGAGAGAGAGAGAGAGAGAGAGAGAGTTGAATCTTTTTCGAGCGATTCACGAAATACCTCCGACGAAATTTCAGGCCTAGGTCTGGGACCGCACACGCCAGAAGAAGCTGCCGTCCTGGCGGCTGCCGCGGCGGCGTTACATCACCACCATCAAGGCCCCGGCGGCCCTGCGATGAGGCCTCTGAGGCCACCGCTGCCACCGGGGATGCTCCACACGTCGCCTCACCCCTTGGCCACACATCATCCTCTCGCGGCGCCGCACCATCCCCTCGTGCCGCCTCATCATCCGGAGGAGGACGGCGTCGTCGACGACCCGAAGGTCACGCTCGAAGGCAAGGAGCTCTGGGAGAAATTCCACAAGCTCGGAACGGAAATGGTCATCACGAAGAGTGGCCGGTAAGTGTCAACAACGTCGTCGTCGTCGTCGTCGTCGTCGTCGTCCTCGTCGGCGGCGGTGTCATTATCGTGATTACGATTCCACGTCGCTAATTGAGCGATCGCTGCGAGAGACACCGAGAGCGGAGCAATCAGGATGCCGTTTCTACCAAGTTTCATCGCGAGCGCGTTCACGTAAATATACGCGACGTTTAACGGACGTCGAGTGGTCGTGGCGTTCTTTGGGCTACGAGCTTCTGCCGGTGGCGGTACGTTATCGCAAGCGGCGCAGAATTTCCTTCCGGATATCTCGACGCGGTACAGAGGACACGCGTATGCTGAACGCCAGTCTGCGGGAGTCTGCTCGCGCCATTTTCGTCGCGCGATACGAGGAAAGTTATTTCCACCGACGCGACGAGCCGAAATACCGGTGGACCAGCTTAAGTAGTTTCTCACGCTTCCATCTGCTTATCTCGCTTCCGACAGTCTCCAATCTTTCTGCGCGACTGCGCGATGTCACACGCTGTGGAATTTGCCGCGGCCACGACTATTAAAACATAAAAGAGCAGGAAAGACCTTTTATCTGGGGAAAACTTGCGGCAATTACCGAAGAGATCTTAAGTCTAACGTATCAAGATCTTGCCTTCTCTGTCGAAACGGAATCTCGAGAAAATTATATTTCTTAAGTGCATCTTAATCGCTGCCATTGATGCGAGCTTGAAGACGTCCGACAAGGCGTTTAAAGATCATTCGTGCATCCCGAGGATGCGATGAACTTAGCAATTTTCCATCTTTCTTCTCCCGAGAGCGACACCTCGCGCGCCCTACGCGAGCATCGCCGGCGTATTATCTCGCGGATAATTATACTCCACTCGATGTGACACCACGTGCGATCTCACGGCGTATCTCGCGTCGTACGACACACAAACATCGACGGGATTAATTTGTCGATGAGAGACCAAATTTATTCCGACTCCCCCCCTCACGAAAACACGGAGAAACGCAAGGCCGCGAAAAGATGCGTCACTGTCAGCGGTTAGTGCTTGTCGCGCGCGCACACACACACACACACACACACACACACGCACGTAACTTCATGCGCATTCACTCTCGGCGAACTTTTCATTATTGCGAATCGCGCGCGCAGCGTATAACACGCCACACGCGATCTCCTGCACGTGTACGGGGAGAAGGGGAGGGGGAGGAGGAGGGAAGACAGACGTCGCGGCGGTACTTTCTCGATGACGTGTAATAGCGTCAGAAAAAAAGAAGATATCACTACAAAGTTGTCGGATCCCATTGTCATCGTCGTCGAGCAATTCAAACTTCTCACCCCTTCCCCCACCCGTTCGCTGCCCCCTCCTCCTCTTCCCCCGATACTCTTTAGCTCCCTGTTTGCCCTCCTGCTCCCTGGCGAAGTCGCTCCGCGACTTATCTACCTCGCCCTGTTTCACGAAGTCTCATGATTGTGGCGGTAGCGGTGGTTACGCGCGTCGTACTTTTCGTAGCAAAGAAAATACAAGCTGATGTCGAGGGCGGCGAGCGAGCAAAGCGGGAGGAAAGAAAAAGTAAAGGATAAAGCGAAGAAGAAGCGCGAGTGAGCGAGTGAGCGAGCGAGCGAGCGAGCGAGCGAGCGAGCGAGTTGCTCTTCCGCGACGATAGCTAAGCCAACGCGAGCGCGCGCGGCCGGCCGGGTATATCGGGTCTGAATGGAGACGACGGCAAACTATAATAGCCGAGAATAGAGCACGCGCCCGCGACGAAAGGGTGAGCATATACGTTTACATATTTCATGTGCGACGCATACAGGTGCTAAAGCGCGCGCGCGCTCGTGCTCGCGTGCGTATATGTGGATTACGGCCGCAACGGCGACGCCAACGTCGGACGCGCCCCTCTCGCGAGTGTGCTTGTATATATGTGGTGCGTGCGTGCGTGCGTGCGTGCGTGCGGGGGTGCGCCAGCGTATCGTCCGGATTAAATCTTCCTCGCTCTCTTTGCCTTCGATCTCCGGTTAATACGGTTTCCTCGACCACTCGGTACGCGCACGAGTCCGCGCGCGTACCGTTTGCTCCTCTAATTTGCGTCATTACTGCTCCGCCGAAGGCAGCCGCGCAGGGGTGCGTCGATTGAGCGAGTCGTCGGGGGAGGGGGGGGGGGTGTTTGTGGCCTGCTCTCATTGTCACCGTCTGGAGGCCTACCACCCGATGGGCTGAAGATCGACGCGAGTCTCTTTCGCCTCGGGAAAATCTGGACACGTAGAATATCTCTGGCAGCGAGAGCGTTCTGATTATGCGCGACAATTGCATCCGTTTGTCTTAATTAATCGGCTAAAACGGGTTCATATTTGTTTCGTGTAACGTGTGTATAAATACTGTATGCCAGATGCCGGAGCCTTTCCAACCAAATCGATTTTGTATATTTAGCCTGAACGCAGCATGTCGGTATCTGATTAATTTACTCTCACAATGAGATTGTTCGCTCACTAATTGCAGCATTCATCCGTCGTGGCAGAAGAAAACGAGTCTTCGACTCGACTTCGACTAGCGTCCGACTCGAATCAGCATCGTGTATCATCGATTATTCCAAGGCGTGACATTAACAAGTTACCGGCGACTGTGTCGGTGTAACGAAGTGGTTTACAATAGAATGCTATGCGAAACGCCGCCTCTCAATCGGCGTCTGATAGATGCTGCCGTTTGACGTATGATAAATAATCGATCGTGATTGGTATTTAGTAACTTAATCTTCACGGTCGGAGATAGTGAGATAAAGAGGCAGAGAAAGAGAAAGAGAGAGGAACGTAGACCGAGAGAGAGAGAGAGAGAGAGAGAGAGAGAGAGGAAGAGCGAGTTGAATACATAAAGAAATCACAAATTCAAAAGCACCGGCCGTATGATTAATTCATAGAGGTAATGACACACGTCGTAATGATCTACTATCGCGGTCCATAATAATTATCCTCCTCTCGCATATGCGGCAGCTGTTCCACATCTGAAATTTATTCAACGCTTCAGATCTTAAACTAGCCGATAAACCGCGCTATAACGTCGCGGACAATCGTACTCGCGGGGAATTAAGTAGTGTTTTATCGCGACGATGCTAATTTACAGCGATACAGCTACGTTCGTACTGCGCGCCGTCTCGCGGGTTTGGGAGAACGAACCGACATGGTACTAATCCGCTGGAACATTGTCCTCCCTGCGCGTTCCCCGAGCACACACGGCTTGTCGCGCGTCGCGAATAAAATCTGAGGATCGCGTCCTTCGAAGCGGAGCGCGGCTAATAGAAGAGGATTGATTAAGTAATTAAACGAGTCGTGATAAAATCTCCATTACTTCTCCATCATAATTCACCGTTGATCCTTCGTCGAGAAAGCGAGCGAGAGGGAGAGAGAGAGAGAGAGAGAGAGAGGGGGGGGGGAAGGAAGGGAGGGAGAGAGGGAGAAAGAGAGGGGTAGAGACGCGTCTCGCGCGCCAATGAAACGGATGAATAACAATCGGGGAATCGAAGTGCGCTTAAATCAATATTGTTGGAGCAGATAACGCTGATCGCTTCTTATCAGAAACGGACGGACGGTCGATCGGAAATCACCGTTTGCTCGTTCGCTCGCTCGCTCGCTCGCTCGCTCGCACCGCAGCCGATCGATTGTAATCTCGAAAACTGGCCCCGCTCTAAATCAATCTCCATCGATAAATAATAACCGCCAAGCCCGCGATCTGCCCGCCTCCCCCCGCCTCGGCCGTGTATCCACCCGCTCGCGATCGGGTTACAGCGAAACGCCGAGCGAGTGCCGCGTCGGGCCTCTGTAACGGCGATCATCGATAATTATACGCGTGGAAATTATGCCGGGCCAAGCCCGTCGAACGGGCCCCGCTCGTCGGGCTCCGCTCCGACTCTGTCCGGTGGTCTACGTCTCAATACGGCGTACGCGTTTGACACGTTCGCCACACCACACGCAAAGCGCATTTACACTTGGAGCGCGCGTGATCCTCCACTAGACGCGAGATCCCCCCTTCACCTTTCGCCTCCTCCTCCTCCTCCTCCTCATCCTCTCGTTTCTCGCCCGTAGCATCATGGCGATGTATGTGTTGTGTGTGTGTGTGCGCGCGTGTGTGTGTGCGTGTGTGTGTGTGTGTGTGTGTGTATGCGTGGATATGTGCGTATGAGTATACATAGGGTGTCTCGAAAGATGCGTGAAATGATGGGCTAGCGAGGGGTTCGAAGTCGGCCTTCTTCATTCGATTTTCCGCAAGACTGCGCTGATCGATGAAGCTAATTTCTCGCTCTCAATGTTGAGCACACCGAAGCTCGCGGCGGCGGAGTGAATTTTTGGCGTTTAGGATGATTGATAATCAAGTTATCGTTCGTTAATCAGGCGGGACTGCAATTTGTCGCAATTTCTCCTTAATGTCGCCAATTTTCTTCCCGAGGACACGTGCTCTCGCAGCACACTTTTCACGTCTCCTACGCGTACATCTATGCGCACGCATGCACACGCACGAGTAATGAGACGCAGCGGTACACAGGTCCGAGATACGCACATAATAGCGAGCGCATAATGCCGGAGGGGGTGCGCGCGGGGTACGGCCGGAAACGGGTGGGGGTCTTAAGTATAGGGCTGCCTTAACGATGTTTGTTTTATACATTGGCAGCCTCTTCTCGAACCTGTAATCTTTCTAAACGAGATATTACCCGGACCCGTTGCGATACAAACCCTTGCCGGAATGGGTCGTGCGGTGTGCGCTCGGGGACCTCGCCTCGTTCTCCAGCGAAGAGGGAGGGCGAGGGCGAGAGCGAGAGCGAGAGCGAACGAAAGAAGGGCGCGAGGAGAAGAGAGGAGGAAGAGGAGGAGAAGCAGGAGAGAAGGAGGAGGGGAAGGGCAGAAGACAAGGTTTGGGCGAAAATTTTTGGCGTGCTCGTGTTCGCTGCTCCGAACTCCACGCGAAGGGAGGAGGCGAGGCGGAGGAGCAGAGGGCCTCGGGGCCCAAAATTGCCTCCCCTCCGCCTTCGACTGCCTCCAA